GTGTGTGGTTCAGCGGTAGGGATTCATCCACGTTTAAGTAAGGTCAGAGATTTGAATCCTGCCTTATGTATACAGTCGCGTTAAATTTTGGGACCAGCAGCTATCCCACCCTTTGAAGTGCCTCCAACAAAAAAAGGAAACAAGGCACGTACAAAAGTAATTTATTAGCCGTTGGAGAATTGTATTGCATTTGCATGTCCTCTCTTTCCCCGCTTTAAAGATTGGTTTTATGAACTAAAACGCCAATTTAGACCGTTATCTTAACGTTCATAAAGCTCTCTGGGAATTGTTCCACTTGTTATTAAAGTATGTTTCTTCCCAACAAAAAATAAATTATATATGACAGTTACTACCTCCCTTCCTTTATAATAATTGTCTTATACAAATCAAAAAATTAATAAATTTTAGACTTAAATATATTTTTAGTCCCTGAAATTTAGGATAAATTTGTTTTTGGTCTCTCAAATTTAAAATTGTTGTTTTTAATTCTTATAATTTCAAAAAATCTTATTTTAATCCTTATATTCATATTTTGTTAAGAAAATTATCAAATATTATTGCATAAAATCTACATACTAGTGTTCCTATTAGTGAAAACATCACATTAAATTTAATTGATATTATTTAATCATCTTAATTTGTCATTTTCAGATATGTTATTAGTGACTTAAGGGACTAAAATAATATTTTTGAAAATTTCAAGGACTAAAAATAACAGTTTCAAATTTGAGGGACCAAAAACAAATTTGTCTGAAAGTTGAAGAATTAAAAACATATTTAAACCTAAATTTTATTACTCTTCATAGAATAATTTTAGTGTTTTCTATATTATATCCTATTTTTATTTCATAATAAATACATATTAATTATTATGTATAAAATAATTAAAAATTAGATAAAATATAATGATATAATTAATAATATAACAATTAATGTTGTTTTGAAATTTGAAAATGATAAAATTTTATTAAAAATTTGACAGATAATAAAGGAACAGGGTGAGTATTTCTTATTTGGATTATTTTCACTTAATTTTATCTCAAGCTATTAACTGCAGAAGTTATCCATTTTTACAAGCAAAATAATAGATAAGATAAGAAATAGGTGTAAGAAAATAGATAAGAAATTAACTACCGAAATAATTCCCTTTGTCAAGAAAAAGAGAAGTTTGAGATACAAGTCGTCGTGAAATCGAATATGCAGTCTCATGTCAATTAAGTTTCATTCTCCTTGTTTTTCCCCGTAGCTTTATTAGGTGCTTCTCATATCAATCAAAATATAACATTTTTAGGATATCATAGTAAGAAATAATGATTATCTAAACTAGTCCATATGAGAGTAGGTATTACATAATGAAACAATTATTTCTTTCAAAGTCTAAGATATAGGGGAAATGTATGAAATCAAGCTCTAAATACCTAATTAATTCACATATAAAATGAAATTTTAAAATATTTTTAATTAAAATTAGGTTTTAACTTATTAACATCTTAATCTCTCATGTTAAACAGATAAAAAGAAAATTCTATTAAGAAAAATGGGAATAAATACTTTTTATTTATTTTAACGTAATAAATATTTTGAAACGATTTTTTTAACACTGCTCATAAAATTAGATATTAACGAATATCATTTAAATACATATAATTAATAATTAGTTAAAATTTCAAACTACTCTAAATGATATATAAAAAAATGTTCAGAATAAATGCTACTATGAACAAAAATTAATCAATACAACTTACAATAAATAAACTAAATACAATATTTATTTAATGGAAATTATGCATGGTAAAATAAAATAACCCTAAATTTATATTCACCCATAGATCATGGACTCGTATAAATGAGATAAAGGAGTTTTAAATTGGTTGGTGACACTGAGATTGCGTATAGGAATGAATGTGAATGGAGTTAATCCAACACAATCCATCTTTAATCCGACAATAAATAATGTTGTTGAATTTGACCTGTTTTAAGATTGCGTTGTAGCTTGATCCAACTCAACTCCAAATTTATATGCACCCATGCATAAATCACGTACTCATATAAATAATTCATAAATTAGTTTATATTAACATTGAGGATGCACGTAGAGATGTGTGATGAGTTAACTCAACCCAATATATTTAAATCGCTAAAAAAAAAAGCAGGGTAAGTTAGATGGAGTATGTGTTGAACTCAATTCAGTCAATTAATTCTGCGTCGACTTGTCGATTTACCTTTCAAAATATTTAAATAAAGAAAAAATATAAAAATGGCATGATCCATAAATTGACGTAATAAATTGTCTCGATCACAAAAATAAGTGAAATAAATTTAACTACAGTAAACATAATGTCACAATAACAAAAAATATTATATTACTAGATTATCTTAACTCAATTTATTTTTGAAAAAAATTATCATGACTTAAATAAGTATTGAGTAAAAGAAAAAAAAATATCCCAAAATTCAAAATGTTTTATAAAGTAATATTTAACTAATAAATAACTTACTAGAAAAAATTGATGGATTTGTAATACCGTTTGCTTTATTATTTTATTGTTTGATTATATGATATATGATGTTATACTGTAGATGTTGTTTTTATAATTCTAAGGGTCAAAAGATCTATGGAAAAAAGATAAATACTAGAAGAGAAATTGAATAATGCATATCAAAAATTAATACGTTTTTTTATAGTAAAGTAATAACGCTAGTTAGATGAAACAAGAAGAGAAGTTAGACGGAACACTGAGTGTTTTTATACTGGTTCATCTCAATCACTGAGAATACGTTCAGTTCTCAATTCAACTGGATTAAATTCTACTATCTTTAAATAAATATATAAGTATTTTTTTAACAAGCCACTTTTGGTTAAATCTTAAGTATTCTTTGACTTGCCTCTTTAAGTAACTACCAAAGTACGTATTCTTTTAACAACAGGTCTCTCTAGAGTTAAACAACCAATTACAAAGCAATGAATGTTTACAAGAAATAATAGATTTACAGATATTGGATTTCTATACAAATTTATCTATGTAAAATTAGCATCTCTTTTTTCTTTCTTATGCATTGAGTCTTATTATATAGTAGTTTGGAGAAGATGATCGTTGTAATACTTCGAGTCTAGCCTATAAGTTTGTTTCATCTATCTTCATCGTCTTTCCTTGTGATGATAGGTGATCGTTCAACTCATTTAATACGAGCATTAAATATATTTCACCAAATTGGTACCTCTTATCTTATTAAGGAGACTACTTATCAACTTTTAATACCAAACGAAGCTTGTAGAAGTAATGTTGGTATAGAGCAGTTATGACAGTGACTTTATCTACTTTTCTCTATGATTTTAGGGCTTTAGTTATGACAGAAAGCAAAACTTTTCTCTTTAAAAAATTTGTGAGTTTTGAGATGGTATTTTGATTCAATCTATTAAGAAATAAAACATTCAAAGCGTACTTTATCATTAATATAATAAATGATAAATATTTAATGTATATGAGACAGACTATATGCTGCGCCTAATTGACAACGTCTTACAGATGATCTACATCTTACACTTTATTTGATAAGCCTTTCAAAAATATGTTTCAAAGACGCTTTTTAAAAACATTTCTTCTATGTAAAAATGTTTTATTTGTTAGCATTAAAACTTTGAGTTTAGGGATTTTGTTTTGACTTAACAAGATCTCATAGCGTTATTTAAGTTGAAATCAAAGTTGACTAGGTTTTGAAGAATGTAAATATGGTTTTCAAATAACTTGAACTTTATAAGTTTAGTTCTTTGAATTCTAGAGATAAATTTTAGAGAGATACGCTTTAGAGCCAATGAAGATCATTTCTTCTTCTAACTTCACTTGGAGCCCCCAAATCCTTCCCTAAGGTAGAGATTGAGTAGTTAATTTGGTGATTCTAGCTTAGAAGTTGTGAATCTTGGTGAAAAGTCACAATATGAGAGGTTTTAAGATCTATAAGAGGTTTCATCTTTTCTTTTTCTTTTTGCTTTGTGAAGCAGTTGAGGTAAGGAAATTTGTTGTTTGAATTTATAAGATATTTTAAAGTTGTGTTTGGAGTTATTTAGCCCGTCGGTGGCTCAATTGTTAAGAATTGAAGTTGTTTTTAAGTCGAAAACTTGAGGTTTTCAAGTATAAGGAAGCTTGTGACCCAAGGAAGTTGAGATTGATGAGTTTTGCATATGAAACTGATGTTAAATTCTTGATATATAATTGTTTGGATGTTCTTTCATGGTTTGCATAGTGGTTGGATTTGATGAAAAAAGTTGAAACTCCATTAAGAGAATTCAATTTTTTCCTAGCGAGGATGAATGTTCATGCAACATTCATCCAAGGTTGGGGATCCTCTACTCAGAATCGCGTTTTTGCTCAATGGCATGATTGTCACCTAGTGAGAAAATGACTTTGTGGCAATCTTTGTTAGAGTTCTCTTAGTGAGGCATAACGCTCCTAATGAGAGAACTCATAAGGGTTTTGGTCACTCAACAAGTTATGGTTGACCAATGAGAGAACCTATAGATTGATTTGTTCGCATAACAAGCTTTTGGTTGCCTAATGATGAGCTCCAAAGGAGCTAGGTTGCCTAACAAGCTAGAACGCGTCCAAAGGAAAAAGGCACAAAGAATTTTTCTCCCCGAACGGGAGTAGCTTGCCTAATGATGAGTTATTGAGAGCTTTGGCCACTTAGCGAGGTTACTAGTCGCCCAACAAGAGCTTTATTTTGTGAAACTTTTATATTGTTTATTCTTTACATATATTTATGATATAAGATGATGATGATGATTGAACCTCATTCATAGTAAGTTGAAAGTAGCTTATTGTATGAAGTTGATGAAGTAAGATGATGGAATCATAATGCTCAAGGGTTCAATCCAAAAGAAATCAAAAGTGTGACACTCTTTACCCCACATATCATACTACATAATACTAAAATTGAATAGAAAGGATTCCATAATTATAATAATAACATAAGTCCAACAAGAAGATATCACATTACAACCAACTATAAATAATGGGGAATTGCTATGATGTCAGTTTGTTTGAGAGGGTTTGGGTGTCCTTTGGTCATCAACAAATTACATATTGACATTTGTGTTGAACAAGGTAAGTCATGGTCAACTCTCATAGAATCGATCAAAGGACATTTATGAAATTTCACTTTACTCTCTTTTTCTTTCTCTCATTTCTACTATCCCTTCCAAACTCTTGCGATACCTCTCTTCATTTTCAATGATGAGTTTTCGCCCTGCTTCGATGACATCGCCGTCATGGCTATTAAGGTCAATGCCTTCATTCACAGCCTTCTCCACAACCTCGACACCGTTCGTACCAAGGCTGATGCCCTTGACATGAAAGCCGAGCAGAACTATGCCTTCATCAAGTAGAAGTACCTCAACATCATCGATGAGTTCTCCATGTTCGAGTTGCACGTCGCCGAACTCCAATCCTCCCTTAATCATTGTCGCCACAAAGTCTTTGAGGCACAATCGCAGAACCACCATATCATAGATTTGGCCGTGGCGATGAGCCTAAGGAGGGAGCGGAGGACCTCTTTCTTGATGCCTTTGTTGGCAGTGGTGAAAGAAGGCGAAGGAGCGGCGACTGCAGAGAGGTGGAGGCGGTGGAGACAGCCACAACGTGCAACAACGACAAGGCCGAGGACATAGATGAGAGCGTAAAAGAGGGCGACGAAGATGACGACAGAGTCAGTGGATGAGCTAAATCAAATAAAAAATATGTCAAGTCCAAAATTAAATTCCAAAAATATCCCTTGACTAGATTTGTGAGAGCTGACCATGACTCACCTTGCTTAATATAGGTGTCTACATGTGATTTGTTGATGACCAAAGGAGTACTTAAACCCTCTCAAATAAACTGGCACCATAGCAATTTCCTAAATAATGCACCAAACTAAAGGTCTTTTGAGAATAACAATAATGAAAACTAACAATTGTCCTAAACATGAATAAAACAAATATCAAATATTAACTACACCTTGAAGTTACATCCTATCACAACAATAATCCAAGGAAAGGTCTAAGCCTTGTCTCCAACATCATCAACATTGTGTTGAGCCTCACCTACAACAACAAACACACAAAACATAGCAACAAGAAATCGTGAGTGAGAAGTATTTCACTTTATAGTTCACGGTGTCAAATAGCTAACACATGAACAAAACAAATATCGAATCCTAACTACACCTTGATGTTACATCCTATCAGAGCAAGAATCCAAGGCAAGGTCTCCAAGCCCTCTCTCCAACATCATTATGTTGAGCCTCACCTACAACAACAAACACACAAAACATACCAACAAGAAATAGGTAGTGAGAAATATTTCACTTTAGTTCACGATGCCAAATAGCTAAACACACGACAACAATTATAGAATCATCAAATACATACAATTATTTTAATAACAATATAGTACAACATGATCAACCACAATTGATAATATCATTCATCATACAAATGCATCTTAACACACACAATGCAATGGACATGGACTTTAATGTTCATATGCATGTGGCACCAATAAGACACATTGATTTGTAAATTTTCCATGTATACATATGGTACATGTCCCATGAGACTTGATGTAATATCATGTTATCATAGTGCATATTCACACTTTGCCAATTTGTCATTGTATGACCCCTATAGGATCCACTTATGACAATTTATCAACACTAATACCAATCACATCATTTACATTAATCATGTCTCACATTAACATAAATACATACTCAACATATCATACTCAATTATCTACATCAATTAGTACAAGAGTCACATGTTCATAGTTCAAGCACAACAATTATGCAACATCATTTGATGCACTTCAAGATAGAATCATTATGAAACCATTTAATCATATGTTAATACTTCAACCATAATCACTAAGTGATCATTATCAAACTAAACATTTACATTAATAATTTAACTAGTTTAGCAATGTTATTGATATAACACATTAATTCATTGTTAACAATCAACTCACATTATAACATATTCATAATTCCTTTTTCAAGATTTCTCTTTACCAAACATTGATATAGGTACCTCAAATCATTCATAAGGTTAAACACTTAAAGGGTAAAGCCATTCATTATCACCATTCACAAACTATATTTTCATATCTTAATCTTCTATGTTCTTGTGTGGTCAAAACACAATATCTAGTGCTTTATACATGTTATCAACTTGATCTTAATTTTGTTAGAAATCTAAGGAAAAATATTTATAGCTTATGTTGATTTCAAGAGTTAATTCTACCATATACGAAATTACATTGTTTCAACTTAAAATTGATAGTTTGACCTTCGCTCACTAATTCGATCATAACTTGATTTCTAGACCTCCTTTTTAGGCGAGCCTAAAAAAATTTGAAAGCTAACATATAGGGATACAACTCTTGTAAAGACATCAAAATCTAATTTGATAATTTAGGACATTTGCACGAGTGCGCAAGTGGGTGCACACTCGTGCTAATAGCTATTTAGCATAGGACTCTTTCAACTTTGGTGGTTGTATGTGCATGCAACGTGGTGCACGAGCTTGCAATTTGTTGCCATAAGGAGAAACTTGTTGTAGCAAAGTGAAAAAATTGCACAATTAACACTTAAAATATTCATCCATAGCTTAACAATTTACTCATTCATATAAAGCATCTCAATTATCCCTTGTTAACCCAATACATTCATTTCCTAGGGTTCCCCTACGAACCCATGGACAATCCAAGATCCACAAGATTAGTTAATTTAGTGAAATTAAACATACATAAATATCAACAACATCAATTAGAGCATTGAAGAATCATATGAGAAGCAAAAACACGTGTTAAGTCACAATTTGAGATTTCTCCCTCATACAACACATAGAACATAATAGAAATTAAAGGTCAATCACTCAATGTCACTATCCAATATACATCTCATGCCCAGATCAAGACTAATCACTCCCCTTACCTTGATCAACATTAGAAGAAGGGTGCAGATCTTCGGGGTGATCTCCTTCATGATATCCATGTAGTTTTTTAGAGCACAAGAAAAAACATAAGAAAGATAAGCGTAAAAAGGAAAATTGACGCTAACCCCTCATAAAAACTCCCTAATCTGCGTTTAATCCATTAGTACAACAATTAAAATGTGGTTACATTTACATTCCCTTAAAATATTAAAATAAAAATATATAAAATAAAATAATACATAATACAAAAAAAGTACATAAAGTCTTATAATTTAACTCATACTTCTCCAACAAAATATATATTAAAATATTATAAAAATACATATTTCTCTAGTAAATGTTATATGAAACAATTTTGCAAAAATTATTATTTACTTAAAAACACTCATGATTATTAAAAGTCTCTAAAATATTTTTAAAACTCATTTGATTAATTAAAACATCTTTAAATAATTTGAGAAAACCTTGGGTGTTACAAAAAGGGGTTGGCTAGGCTTCAAGGTAGAAGACTAAACTCATTATTGAGCTTTGGGTTATCTTTTAGTTCATTTCCTTTTATTTGTTAATATTTCATTGTAATATATTTCTTTTTATTTTAACCTTGTATTTTATGCTAATGTAAATTGTGATGGACATGTGATGCATGTGTTTAAGTTGAAAGTTGCATAAAAACTAAAGGACAGAAAAGTTAATGTTTTCGAAATTAAAATATATCAACACGTGGATATAAATTATGATGCTCTAAGAGCCCTAAAAATTGAAAATCCTTTAGTGAGTAAGTTATCTCTTGATTAAGGAGTTATTTTAAGTTGTTTGCTCTAGGTTTTCAATCGAAACAATATGGTAGAGGCTGAATCATATTGTCATAAATGGCTAACGAGTAAGATACAAGGTTGGGGTGCCAAAATTCAAAACCAACTATTGGAAAGGTGCATAGTATTTGAAAGATAATTAGAAGACTAATTCCGTACAAATTTAGTTATGCATGTTAAGACCATGATAGACTTATATCCAAGTTGTTCTATTTCTAACAATAGTATTGAACTTTCTTAGTGTAAGTGATAAAACTTGAGAAACCAATTTTGGTAACCATGCCAACCATTGTTTTCTTGTCATTATACCAACCATTGATTTTTGGTCACCTTGCCAACTGTTGTTTTTGGTTTTTATATCAATCATTATGGTTTAGTAGGGTCAAACTACTTAGATTGTTTATCCAATCATAAGAGATATCCATAAGTTGTTATACATGACAACACATCAATCATTCAATTGTTTATCAATTATTTTTCAATTGTGTAGTTGCTTAAGTTGTCCCAATTGATAAGTTATTTTCAGTTGTTTATGTTGTTCAATTGTGAATGTTGAAAAATTGATTTTATGCTTTAGAAATGTAAAGGTAACCTATTATTTAAGTTAAGTTATATATTACTTTAAGTTATTTACTTATTTATCTAATGATATGATGTTTCTTTCACAAGCTTACTTACTTTTTCATGTTGTTGTAATGCTATGATCATACTTATTATAGAAAAAGTGCATGATTAGGTTGGAGGACATACTCAGTGGATGACCATGTCGGGGATGACTTTTATGTTCTTGTTGGGTATTATGATACATCATGTATATAGAGACAATTGACTGGAGCTAAAGTTTTATGTTTTCAATACTTCCATATTAGATGTATATTTGTATATATGTACATGATTTTGTTGTAACTCCATAAAAAGATTTATGTTTTCAAGTCAAAATTGGGTGAGACTGTTATATTTTTTTTTGCACCTTATACATATATTTGTTACATGAATATTCAAGTACTATTGCATGAGAAACCCTAGGTTAATAGATTCTTTATATTTTTTATTGCATAGAAGTTATGTTGTACTAAATGTAGTAACCTACAGATAGCAATGAATCACACCAACTCGAAAATAGTTTCAAATTCGATTCGATAATTAACTTGTTGAACTTGTTTTATAAACCGAATGAGCTAAACTTAACCTAAAGATTGAACTCGATAAATAAATAAGTCAAACTTGAGTTCTGTATAGTTTGATTCATTTGGTTCATGAAATGACTCGACATATAAATATATAATTTATACAATTAATTTTCTATTCAATTCTAGCATATTAAAATTTGAAAGAACCTTCAAAACTTAGTTGTAAGTTAATAATAATAAAAGAAATGAAGACTTTAAAATTTCATAATTATGAATTAGGTTTTCTATTATTTTATGCAGGGTGGAGTAGTTTTTACTTATACAGACTTTAATTGTAATTATGTTTCTTTGGAGTTATACCTTGTAACTTTACAAAGCTAATTAAATAAGTTTTGTTTTGTTGATTAAAAAAATTAACCAATCATTTTATCAAAAATTTATTATTAAATTAAAATTTTAAAATATATTAGATTAAAAGAATTGACCTTTTGGTTCATTTGATTCAAGTTACTAGCAAACTTGAACTAAGTCGAATTCAAGTTAGAAAAAAAAAGTTAATTTCGAACTTGAATCAAACTGCAAATTAAACCAAATATTATTAACTTAAATTAAATTAAATCAAACTCAACTCTCCTTAATTCATTTCTAGCCATACTTGCCACGTCGTAACATGGCTAACATAATTCAACTCCATTTGACTAATTAGATTAACATATTAGACATGTTAAAGAGTTAATCACCTATACATTATAAGTGTAAAGTTTTTTTACACTAGCAACTAATTATATCTTTTAATTGTGTCATGTCACTGTTAAAAGTAAATATATTTATAGTGACATAACACAATTAAAAGATATAATTAGTTATCAGTGTAAAAAAACTTTACCCTAACAGTGTATATGTGATTAACTCCATGTTAAATCACATAAAATAATTAGGGAATTGAGTTATCTTATCCAACTCTTTTTAGTGAGTTACTTGAGTTAACATGTCAAGTTCAACCTAATTTAACATTTTTAATTGCGTATGACAAATATGTATGATAAATTAATTAAAACTTAAAAAATAATAATAAATTATCAACTAAAAACTGTTTAATCAGTTCATTATATTAGAATTATTTTTATGGTGACTTCAAATTAAAAGCAATCAATGTAGCAAAAAAAAAATATTTAATGAAATTAGTTATTAAAATATTTAATAAATATATAGAATAAAAATAAAAGATATGTCTGCATACGATATATATTAATAAAGAAAATCTATTGTTAAGTTTATAATGAATATTATTTTTTACCATTTTCAAATAAATATTTTACCAATAAAACTATTAATAAAACATTTATTTTTTAATTTTGTAATTTTTTAAACTGATAAAATAAATCATAAACTAACTGAAATAATTAATTAAATATATTCGAAACAGCCTTAAGTCATACCGGCATCATCATTTGTCAAGCCTTTTGAAAGTTAGTCAAACTTTTATATATTAATATATAAATAAATTATACAATTAACAAACATGACATATCTAATAATTTAACAATTTCCATTTTAGTAACTGATACTTATACTTATTTTTTTTTATTCTTGAAATATTCACGTTAAAAATAATGATTAATCTTTTTACTATGTTGAAAGTAACTCAAAGGATGAGATAACAGGTCTCAAAATTTAACTATACCTATTTAATAACTAACTATTTTTATTTTAATAATATTTTTTTAACAATTTTTTTCCAACTTTTTTCTTTTAAAAATAACATAATTAATTAATTCTCTTTCTTTTTATTAATTAAGATTTATGATCGAATCCGACTTTCTCTATATTTTATATTTAACCATGTAAATTAACATAATAATTTTTAAAAAGATTAATGATTAAATCTAATTTTATAAAAAATCGTGTTTTACTCTAAATTAATATGTATTAGGATATGAAAAATGATTTTAAATATAATTGTTTATTAAATTTTTTTAACACTATAAAAATGGTAAAACTAACAACAAAAGTGTGAGATATATAATGCTATAAAAACATCTACATAAAATTTAAAGTATATGGCATGTTATTTTTATTATTAGTGTCAAAAGTCACCAAATTTAAAGACTATATACTATATTATAAAATAAAAAATTAATATTAATAAATAGCAACAAACGAGTACATTCGTTAAGCAAAGGATTTTCATCAAATGTCACTTTCCAAAATAATATTATTCGAGACATTGTCAAACTCTTCTCATTAACCAAAAAAAAAAACAAAATCTTAACTGCCATACATAGGGGACTAATCTCTTTTGCTAGAAGAGACTCTTAGTTATAATAATACCTGTGTTTCAAAAGAATTAGTTTCCAACACTCAATAATATATTTTTTTAAGGAAAAAGAAGATAAATATTTAATGAATAAGAACAATAATATATGAATAAAGAGACATAGACATGCACACAAGTTCAGATATTTTTCTAAAAAAAAAAAAAAGAAAAAATATTTAATGAATAAGAAGAATAATAGTATATGAATAGTGAGACGTAGACATGAACACAAGTTCTATGCAACATGTGGAAAGTATTATCGTAAAACTAGCAAGAGCATGATCTAGGATGCTTTGAGGACGGTGTATGGGGGTGCGTGCACTCAGCGAGACGCACCGTTTTCCATGACCGACATCCCAAGATACCAATTTCTTTAGGGTAGGATTTAGAATTAGGACCCTTTCATTCTCCATTTTTTTTTTTTTTTGCTACTTCCACTCTTCAATTTCCCCTTCCCTTCTTCTTTTTCCACTATTTCCACATTTTCCATCACTCGCCCAAAAAGTTTGAAGGATTAAATGAATACACTAATGAATAATAGAAAATGCGTCTTAAAAGACAAGCTTGTTTGTTTTTTCTTCTCCATCTTTTCTTTATTCTTTATGGCTAATTTCCTTTGATGAATGATCGAGTCTTTCCTCCCAAACTTTTAGGCATTAAAATGTTTTTTTCCCCTTGTCAAACTAAAGTGCTACATAGCATTTAATTGTAGTGCATATTTGGAATTACAACCGACAGTTTTTTTCTCAATAATAATAATATTATTAAGAAAAGTAAAAGCCTATCACAAGTTATTGCTGGACTTCGACATTTAATTTGAAAAATACTTTTATTTTTTATTTTAATTATAAAAATGTCACATTTTATTTTATTTAAAAACTTGTATATAAACAGTTAAAATAATAAAAAAATTTAATTAAAAATGAAAATATTTCTCAAACTAAACGATATTTTATTTTCTTAAGTTGACTCTTCTAAACTGAAAAGAGCGTGTTTTAGTAGATAAAGTATATTGATTTAGATAAAATATGTTGATTTTTGTACCTGTCTAAAGGATACACCAATAATCCTTTCGTATTCTGAGGGCCGAACGAGTGCTCCGAACCAATATTCCGGTGTGGGGGAGGTACCTGCAAAAGGCACTCCGACGCTCAAGTCAGGACAAAGCGCAGATATCGATGGCAATTAATGAACAGTGACCTTACCTCGTGACAAGAGCTATTTATACTGACATTTATGGGCCCGGACTTCCATGGGCCCTGTAACAAGATTACCAGATTAGGTAATACGCTCCTAATCGGCTTACGGGTATGCTTAACCCTTAATCCTTAATTATGGGTACATTCTTACCTCTATTAGTAGGAATCTGAGTTCACTCGGCCATCTGGTAGCCGAACGGCATTCGGCCACCTGGTTCGGTCATTCAGGGGTCGATTGGGTGTCGGCTATCAGGTGGCCGAGTGGCCGAACCAGGTGGCCGAATGGCCTTACTAGTACAATTTTGTTTATAACACTACATTGTGTTTTATCAATAATTATATGTTATGGGATTTTGGGTATTCAATTATTGAGAGATTCTAAGAGTTGAGGAACTCCTAAGGAATCTTTTAAGTATTTTGGAATTTTTTTTTTTGAAAGAGATCTAGTTTGATTATAAGAGAAGGAGAATATTAGGTTTCTTTTAAAAATTAAGCTTCATAAATTCAATTTTTAAGAATTTTTAAAGAGATATCAAAAAGAGAAGCTTGTTAAGTCAAAAAATAATTTTAGACTTTTCAAAATTTCAAGTTTTAATGATAACAAACAGATATTTTTTGAGAAAAAATGTTTTTTTTAAGACAGGTGTTTATAAGATGATCTAATTGAGACATTTATTTATCTTAACATTAAGTTTTATATACGAAGCACTTCATCTATAAGACATGTGCTTTTAACTTATATCATTTATGTTATTTGATAACAAAATCATTTTTTTTTGACATGACTCCTTAATAGATCAAATTGATAAAATTCCTTCAATAGTCACAATTCACTAAAGGAACTAAAGACATGTTTTTCATCAAAAAAAGGACTAGAATATCTCGCAAAGAATGAAAGACTACAAGAAACGATGTTTCTAACTAACACACCCATGGTTCTTCTCTTTTGGTACCAAAAAGGTGATAAATAACTTCCTTAATAAGATAAGAAGAGATAATTTGGTGAAATGCATTTAATATACCAACAAACACTTCTCTTTACCAGGAACGAAGATGAAGACAAATAAACCAAGTTTGTGAGATATTTAAGGTTTTACAACAGTCATCCTTATAAAGCACTTATATAAAGAAGTTTGAAGATTCAGAAAGATAAAGAACACATATTCATTGTAAAAGTACATCCATTCTTCCTATAAGAAATATTGTACTTAATAAGTTGTATCACGTCTTGATATTAAGACGAAACAACAATGTTAGCTTACCTAATTTTAACTTAGTGTTATTGATTTGAGCATAAAGAGGCTTAACTATAAAATAATACTTAGGTAGTTGTTTGAAGGGGCAAATCAAATAATATTTAAGTTGAGCCAGAAGTGACGTTTGAAAGAATACTTGTATATTTGCAAATGATAGTGGAACTTGATCGAGTTAATAAAAAACTGGACGTAGTCTCGGTGATTAAGACAAACTAGTATGAAAACACCTTGTATTCATCTTACTTATCTTTGTTTGCACTCTTTTAAGTTATGATACTACTTTGCTATTTTTACAAAAGTGTTGAGTTTTTCGATTGATATTATTCAACCATCTATTCTAGTGTCTATCTTTTTTCCACAAAACTTTGAGATTTTGATTTTTTCTTCTTCTTTCTAGGCTTCCTTAATGCGTGAGGATCATTGTTGGATTGTTGATTTAAATCCCGAGAAGTTAAGAATCAAGATTGTGTTGGTGTAGAGCTTCGGTGATAATTCGAAGGTGTTCCTTTCTTCTTCTCCCTTCTCGGTTCACTTTGACTCCAAGGTAAGGAAAACTAGAACTTGTATATTTGATAGATTGATAAGTTGTATGTGCCTTGAATTCATTGAGTGTATGATTGAATGGATGATTCCGAGTTGAGGATTGTTGCTTGTTGAACTTTGGTGCTTTGAGTTCATGACGGTGAATTTTGGTGATTAATTATAGTTGTTGTTGAATGTTGCCATTTTGGTGTAGAACGAGTTGCTTATGATGTATATGTATGGTATATTGCAATACATGCTTGGGATTTCTTGTATTTCATGTGATTTGAGCCAAATTCAAGGTCTACTAAGTGCATAACTCATCATCGTGTCGGGCATGCCTTCATATCCCCGAGCGTGACTCAAATTAGGAGACCTTTGTCTTATTCACGTTGGGTGTTAGATTGGTGGTCAAAATCCATGTTCGACCTCATTTAGGCAGAGAGCCTTTGTTTGGGTCACGCTTGACGTCAATACATTGGTGCTTAACATCCTTCAGCCAGAGAACTTCTATCTTGATCAGCTTGACACCACTCAACTAGGATCCAACATCACCAAGTCAAAGAGTTCTAAAGGCATTTGTGTCCAACGTAACCAAGTCAGAGAGCTCTTCTCTAACCCATGCTTGACACTACCAATCTCATTTTCGATGTCAATGAGGTAGAGAGTCTTTGACCTGCATCACGCTTGACACCTTGAAGTTGTGTCTGACACGATGATGAATTATGTACTTGACAAATTCACGTTTTAGCTTAATCTATACCCAAAACTCAAGGAAACCGACATGCAATGCCATAATCAAACTCTACACATCATAAGAAGTTCATTTCTCACCAAAATAGTTACATGCAACCAATAATTGATCATCATTCACCCAAAATCTCCTCAACACATTCAAAAGTCCCAATGCCCCCACAACACAAGAATTCAATCTCTTAATTATCAACATAGCCACGATTTGGGTAAATGCAAACATCATTTAACTTCATCAATCAACAAAGAATCCGGTTCTAACTTCCCTTAAATTTAATCACTAAGAAAGAGGAAGAAGAAAGAAAAAGAAACTAAGCTTCGAGAAATTTGGCATGAAATTACCACCGTTCGATTCTTAGCCTCCTGAGCCTTGAATTTCAACATTACTCCCACAATTGAGCTTTAGGAGAGATCACAACACTCTAAAAAAGAGTGTCGGAAGAAGAGTTCTCTTAAGCTCTAGAACTCCTCTCTTTTATTGAATTATAAAGTTCATTTTTTAAGAAAAATCTTATATACCTTTCTCCAACAGATCAAACTTGACATTTACGTAGAGAAATTCTTAAAATATTAAAACTCATAAAAATTTATAAAATTTCTCAATAATTTAAATAATTAAATAACAAATCACCACAACACATAATTTAATAAAATCAATAATTATTGATAATCTTACAAAAAGTTATTAAATGAATATTTTTATTCAACAATTAAATGCCTAAATCTATAACGTTCAATATATTTTACGCTCCCAACTAATTATAAATCATGTTTGGTTATTTTGGTATAATGTGTAAAATAATGACAAATTTTTTTATTAAATAATAATATAAAAATATTTTACATCATTTATGTATATCGCATATATTACATATATTTTTCACCATAAACAAACAATCTTGCTGGAATGAGACATAATTATTATAAAATAATAAAATTTTCTTCCGAAAAGTTAATATAACTACATAGTATCTTTAGAAACAGTAAACCAGCTTATGACATTCATTTTTTTAGAAACTAGAGAGTACATCAGGGGGAGGGAAGTGGAAATAGCAAAAACATTATTAGGAAAAGCAGAATCTTAGCTGGATCCACCACTACCTAAATTTTACTCTCAACTTTCTCCCCTTTTCTCCCTCTGATTCAACCTTTTCCCATACACACACATTCAACATACTTCCTTCTCTCTCCCACATTTGGAAAGAGAGAGAGAAACAAGACTCTCACACCCAACACAATGTGCAGCACCATCTTCATCTTCATCTTCATCCTCATTGCACCCTTCTTCCCCCAAACAACACCCACACCCATCCACAGAAGAATCCTCCACCAACCCCTTCTCCCCCAAGGAGCCTCACCCCCTCCCTCACAGCCCCCAACCCCACCACCATCCCCAAACCCTTCACCTCCAAACCCAAAGTACCCATTTTCAGCAACACCCAACACCAATGCCTCCACACCATTCTTCCCCACATACCCATCACCACCACCGCCACCCTCTCCCTCAGCCTATGCTTCCTTCCCAGCTAACATATCCTCCCTCATCCTCCCCCAATCCCCCAAATCCAAATCCTCCGCCAAACTCCTCGCCGTCGCCATCGCCTCCGTCGCCTCCGCCCTCGCCGTCGTCGCCCTCTCCGCCTTCGTATACTGCCGCCGCCGCCGCAAGCACTACTCCGCCGACGACAAAACCCTCAGATCCGACAGCAGCATCCGCCTCTTCCCCCGCGAGCCACCCCCCGCCGCCGGCGCTGCCCGGAAATCCAGAAACACTTCCTCCACCAGCTCTGAGTTTCTCTACCTCGGCACCATTGTTAACTCCCGCGGCGGTGGCGGTGTCGATGACCTTTCCGACCCACGCGCCGCCGCGTTGAACCCCCGGAAAATGGACTCGCCGGAGCTCCAGCCGCTGCCGCCGCTGGCGAGACAGGCCTCCAGGCTCCGCGAGGAGGCTACTCCGCAAGAGGACGATGAAGAGGAGTTCTACTCGCCGAGAGGGTCGTTGAACGGAAGAGAAGGCTCCGCCGGAACCGGATCGGGTTCCCGGCGAGTTTACGCTGCCATT